ATCTCAAAAATAGATTTATGAAGAGGCCCGTATTTTTACATATGCGAGCTTGGTTGCATAGAAACCGGGTCCTTTTATCCATAGCATTAGTGGGTTCAGATTGAACTAGCTTCATCCAAGGGTTAAAAAAGAATTTCATTTTTTATTTTTAATTTTATTTTAAAATGATCTTAATCATGTACCTTCATTTTTATAAATAAAATTAAATAAAAATAACTAAACATTTTAAATAAAAAATATTGATCAAAATAAATTTAGCGGTGTTTAGGTCACTTTATTATTTAAAATATTTTCTAATCATTTTTATGTAGTTCTCTTTATCTATTATATATTAAACAAAATGAAGTCCATTTTTAGTATTTGACAAGTATCTATTGAGATTCCAAATTTTTCCTATTGATTTATTTTTATGCCATATCGATCCTTTAATCTCTCCATAAATCTTTCTCTCTCAATTAATGTGCATCACTCTCTTCACATCCACGTCTCTCTCTTTCTATCTCTCCCCCGAGAAGGTGTGAATTCATGCATTTATTTCTGGAGTATTTCTCTCTCACACTCTAATTCATGAATTTATTTCAGGAGTATCTCTCTCATACACACTCTCTCTAAAGTGGGACACACATCTCTCTCCCATGACCTAAAGATGATTAATCCTTAATTGAATATACCAGGCAAAGAAATACTTAAAAAGATGATTGATCCTTAATTGAACATACCATTATATTGGCAAAGAAATACTAAAAAAACGTACTTTTGATATCTTAGTTCGACAATTAAGAAAAATAGAGAGATTGAGAAAGATATCGCATATAGAATTAAAGCTGGGTGGACGAAGCGGATATGTGCAACTTGAGTTTTATATGACCACTGTATACCAATGAAGCTGAAAGGTCAATTTTATAGCTATCTGACCGACTTTACTCTATAGGACAGAATATTTGGCGGTCAATAAACAACATACCTATAGGATGAGTATAGCTGAGATGATGAGGTTGAAATTGATGAGTGGTAAGACAAGAAAGGATATAATTTGAAATGAATACATTTGAGAGAACTTAGGTGTAGCACCAATAGGCGATAAGATACGAGAAAGTAGACTTAGGTGGGCTGGTCATACACAGTGGAGACCCAGTACAAAAAAAAGTGAAAGGGATATGTCCAAAAGGATACGGTTGTAAATAGTGAGAAAAGATAAGACGATTGATGTCCTCTCTAAGGATATAGCCCTTGATAGAGAAGAATGACAAACTAATATTCGTGTAGCCGACTCCAAATAGTTTGGAAAAGGCTATTGGCAAAAATATAAAGTTAATTAATTTTTTTTAAAAATCATATATTAAATATTTATAAATTAAAGTATGCAATAAAAACATAAATGTCTTAAATTAAATAAGCATAAATACAATTTATAATTTATGCATAGAACAGGAATTTTGAATATGATATTAGTTACAAAAATAAAGAGAATAATAATTCAATTTATAAATAAATTAGAAACCCATAATTATAATTAGATTTTGTAATCATATGAGGATAACTATGTATTCAATAATAAAATATAATTATCTATTCACGATATATTTTCTTATCTTAAGATATTTTTGGTTGATATTATAAATGTAGTAAGTATGCGTTTGTTGCTTATAATAACTAAGTAATAGTAATCATAATAATGTTAAAATTAAATATTATAATTAAATTGTTTCCTATAATAACTAAGTAATAGTAATTATAATAATGTTAAAAATCATGATAGATAGAAATACTAATAATATTATTTTAATAAATATTATAATAATCACAAAAATCACTAAATTCTAATTAAATATTATGTTATCTTATAGTTATGCAATTATTTATTAATAGTATACAAATCTTGCTTTTATTTATATAATTTATTAATGGAAAAAGTTTATGTAAGGTTGCAACTTTAAAATGTAGAATTACATATGCACCTCAAAAATTCATCGGAAATGGTTATTTTAATGTTGAAAAGACCTCTAATTGGTCCCAAAATTAATTTTGTATACCAAAAATAATGCATCTTGCAATACATTATCTACATCGCCCATTTTCAATAATTTCATATGTTTATAAATCTAGTTGATTTTAACAATTTTTGGAGTTTAGAATTTTATAATTAGATATGAAAATAGATTTTGAGATAATCGTAATAATTTCTTTCACCAAACCTACATGATACAATTTGGAGGTGAGGTTGCAACCTTATAGAAACCACACCCTTTATTAATTTATATTAATTAATTTAGGTTATAATTAATAAATATATTTATAATTGAAGTGTAATCATAATAATATCATCTCTAAGTACTTAATTTGTTCAATTAATTTTAGGAAAATTGTTTTATGCGGGCTGGACCGCATTTCTACATATGTGGTTAAGAAAGTGTAAAGATTCCATCTTAAAGATGGATGCAAGTAGATGTTCCATCTAAAAATAATGGAAACTAACTTTCCGAATGTTTTCTTACTAGAATTATTATTTTTAGTTTTAAAAATTTATTTATTTTTTCATATTCATGATTTCCATGTTAGAGATTACATGTCCTTGAAAATTAAGTCTTCAAATTCATCTCAAAAATAAATTTATTAAAGGGTGCGGTTTGTATAGAGCCTACGCGCTAAACATTCAAATTAGAACTTACCTTCAAATAGTGTCGAGAAATGTGGTTTCAATACTAGAAATATTTTTGATAGCCTTAAAATATATTTCCATCTTTGTCTATAAAGTTTAAAGCTTAAAAAATACTGTAGACGAGAGATCTATGAAAACTTGAAAATATTAAAAATTGACAGTTCAAAAATGTATTACAAAATACACTATTTCCAAAATTTGAAATTCATTTTTTTCTCATGTCCATGTATCTTGATGTTGAGATAATCAATTTGAGGATATTTGGGCATCAAAATAACCTCTTCTAGTGAAAATTTTGAGGCGGGCTCTAATCTGATTTTTTAGAGCCTCGGCTCTATATAAACTCTTCCCTTTATTAAAAGGGCCATATTTCTACAAATGCGGGCTTGGCCACGTAGAAACCGGGTCCTTAATTTTATATGTTATTTTAAATATCACATAAAGAATTTACTCAATTTACTAAGCAAGGGAAATGTTTATATAGAGCCGAGGCTCTAAGTAAGCAAATTAGAACCCGCTTAAAAACTTTCACTGGAACAGGTTTTTTTTATGCTCAAATATCCTCAAATTGATTATCTCGACATCAAGATGTATGGATATGAGAAAAAATGGATTTTAAGTTGTGGAAATAGTGCATCTTGTAACTCATTTTTTTACCGTCAATTTCAAGATTTTCAAATTTTTACAGATATACTTGATCTCCACTATTTTTGAAGTTGTAAATTTTATAATTAATGACGAAAATATATTTTAAAGCTATCATAGAGATTTCTAGTACTAAAACCACATTTCTTGACACTATTTGAAGGTTCGCCTTAGTTTGATTGTTTAGAGCCTCGGCTCTATACAAATCACACCCTATATATAATAGTTGATTACATTATAAAGAGAGATGCATAATCATATTTTCTAGTTTAATATATTATCTCTCACATTAGTAATAAAATAAGAAACACCTCAAAATTCAAATAAATATTGTATTTAGAGAAGAGTAAACTATAAAATATGAAAATTGATTTTTAGCCTGAACTAAATTCGT